TGTATGGAAAGAAGCCTATAAATACCGACTGAAAAGCTCAAGTTTTAGTCGTTTATGATTTTGTTCTAAGTCGTTTAGACTTAGTTTTTATTTAACTTTAATATTAATTTAATTTTTTTATAATAATTAAAATTAATAAAGGAACATTCGGTTGCTGTATTAAGTTGCGTTTGATAAGTTTTAAATAAATCGTTAAAGATTGTTAAGACAAGTGTTCTTTTGTGCGCATATTTTCCTGCAGTGAATAGTCTGACGATTTGGAAGATGATCGGCACAAAATTAAGGTAAGTATTCTTTTATTAGCGTTTATATTGGTTTTGCTGTTTTCTTTTTTCTGCTTGAAGTTTTTATAAATAATTTATTAATAGAGCAATTAAAAATTATTTTCAGAGCATGTTATTCTACAGTCAATGGTCTGATGGCTTGGAGGGTGATCGTCGGCAGATTGTTATCCTGCAGTGAATATTTTGACGGTATTGAAGATGATCGGTATAAATCTAAGATAAGTATTCTTTTATTAGCGTTAATATTGGTTTCGTTGTTTTTTTCTTTTCTGCTTCTATTCTGCTTCTATTCTGCTTATCTTAAATTATTTTAAGGTATTCTACTTGTATTTTTTATCTGTTGTAATTATTTTTTGTGGTTTTTCTAGCGATAGGTTTTGTGATGTGTTGTGGTAGAAAGCTCTTGTCGACTGCTCGTGCATACATACAAACATACATTGTTTGTGTGGCAGTATTGTCTCTTCTGTTTTATTTCTTCCTTTCTTTTTACATAAGAATTAGCTAAATGAATTGTACATAGGTAGGCTGAGACATATGATAATTTATTACATAGGTAGGCTAAGGCATAAGGTAATTTATTACATAGGTAGGCTAATGCATAAGGTAATTTATTAAATAGGTAGGCTAAGGCATAAGGTAATTTATCACATATGTAGGAAGGGACTTTTGTCTTCTCACTCTTCTCGGTGTGTTTTTTGTTGTGTCGTTTGTCTTGTTTTACATCATACACTCTACAGGTATGCGGTGCGGCTTGGTATTGGTGGGATTGGTACTGGTTTAACTAATTTTTTTACTTTTCTTCTACACTAATTGTTATTAATTCATGTGGTTATAAATAATTTATTAATAAAGCAATAAAAAATTATTTTCAGAGTATGATGATCTACAGTTATGGTCTGATGGCTTGGAGTATCATCGTCAGAAGATTAACACGAGTGTTTTTTTGAGCGAATGTTGTCCTGCAGTGAATAGTTTGACGGTTTGAAAGATGAACGGCACCGATTTAAAATAAGTATTTTGTGTTACCCTTTATATTAGTTTTGCAGTTTTCTTCTTTTCCTGCTATCTTTAAATATTTTTGATTGTTTTATTTGTATTTTTGTTCTGTTGTAGTTAATTTTCGGTGGTTTTTCTAGCGAGAAGTTCTGTGACGGGGTGTTGTAGAAAGCTCTTGGCGGCTGCTCGTGCGTACGTACACGCATACAATGTTTGTTTGTATTGCAGTATTTTTTCTTCTGTTTTTTTTTCAGTTTCTTTCTACGTGAGGTAGGCTGAGGCATAAGGTAATTTGTTACATAGGTAGGCTAAGGCGTAAGATAATTTATGTAGGTAGGGACTTTTGTTTTCTAACATTTGTTGGTTTGTTTTCGTTTCGTTAGTGAAATTGGTTACTGGTTCAAGTCTTTTTTTTACTTTTTGTGTTGTTTTATCTTACTACGCTTAATGTTATTATTTGAAGTTGTTTATAAATAATTTATTAATAAAGCTATTAAAAATTATTTTCAGAGCATGTCGTTCGACAGTCAATGGTCTGATGGCTTGGTGGGGGATCGTCGGAAGATTGTTAAGACGAATGTTTTTTCTTTGGAGGTCATGTTGTCCTGTAGTGAATAATAGTCTGACATGTTGACATGTTGGAAGATGATCGGCACAAAATTAAGATAAGTATTCTTCTGTTAGCGTTAATATTGGTTTCGCTGTTTTCTTCTTTTCTGCTTCTTTTCTGGTTATTTTAAATTATTTTTAGTTATTTTAATTGTGTTTTGTTCTGCTGTAATTATCTTTTGTGGTTTTTCCAGCGGTGGTTTTTTGTGACGTGGTGTGGTAGAAAGCTCTTGGCGGCTGCTCTTGCATACATACACACATACATTGTTTGCGTGGCAGTATTGTTTCTTCTGTTTTACTCCTTCTTTTCTTTCTACATAAGAATTAGCTAAATGAATTGTACATAGGTAGGCTGAGACATATGATAATTTATTACATAGGTAGGCTAAGGCATAAGTTAATTTATTACATAGGTAGGCTAAGGCATAAGGTAATTTATTACATAGGTAGGCTAAGGCATAAAGTAATTTATTACATAGGTAGGAAGGGACTTTTGTCTTCTCACTCTTCTCGGTTTGTTTTTGGTTGTGTCGTTAGTCTTGTTTTGCATCATACGCTCTACAGGTATGCGGTGCGACTTGGTATTGGTGAGATTGGTATAATTTAAGTAGTTTTTACTTGTTACTACACTTAATGTGATTAATTCATGTAGTTATAACTAATTTTTTTAATTGAGCAATGAAAAATTATTTTCAGAGCATGATGTCCTACGTTTACGGTCTGATGGATTGGAGTAGTATCATCATTAGAAGATTAACACGAAAGTTTTTTTGAGCGCATTTTGTCAGTGATGTGTTGTCAAGATGATCGGCACAAAATTAAGATAAGTATTCTTCTGTTAGCGTTAATATTGGTTTGGCTGTTTTCTTCTTTTCTGCTTCTTTTTTGCTTATTTTTAAATATTTGTATTCATTTTATTTGTGTTTTGTTCTGCTGTAATTATTTTTTGCGGTTTTTCTAGCGGTGGGTTTTGTGACGTGGTGTGGTAGAAAGCTCTTGGCGGCTGCTTTTGCATACATACACAGTCTCACATACATTGTTTGTGTTGCAGTGTTGTTTCTTATGTTTTTCTTTTCTTTCTACATAAGAATAAGCCATATTATTTGTACATAGGTAGGCTGAGATATATGATAATTTATTACATAGGTAGGCTAAAGCATAAAGTAATTTATTACATAGGTAGGCTAATGCATAAGGTAACTTATTACATAGGTAGGCTAAGGCATAAGATAATTTATTACATAGGTAGGAAGGGACTTTTGTCTTCTCACTCTTCTCGGTGTGTTTTTTGTTGTGTCGTTAGTCTTGTTTTGCATCATACACTCTACAGGTATGCGGTGCGACTTGGTATTGGTAAGATTGGTATAATTTAAGTAGTTTTTTACTTGTTACTACACTTAATGTGATTAATTCATGTGGTCATAACTAATTTTTTTAATTGAGCAATGAAAAATTATTTTCAGAGCATGATGTCCTACGTTTACGGTCTGATGGATTGGAGCAATGAAAAATTATTTTCAGAGCATGAATTACATTTACGGTCTGATGGCTTGGAGTAACATCGTCAGAAGATGTGCTCAAAGATTTTTTGAGCGCATTTTGTCAGTGATGCGTTGTCAAGATGATCGGCACAAAATTAAGATAAGTGTTCTTCTGTTAGCGTTAATATTGGTTTCGCTGTTTTCTTCTTTTCTGCTTCTTTTCTGCTTATTTTTAAATGTTTTTATTCATTTTATTTGTGCTTTGTTCTGCTGTAATTATTTTTTGTGGTTTTTCTAGCGGTGGGTTTTGTGACGTGGTGTGGTAGGCTGCTGCTTTTGCATACATACACACATACATTGTTTGTGTGGCAGTATTGTTTCTTCTGTTTTACTCCTTTTCTTTCTACATAAGAATTAGCTAAATGTACACATAGGTAGGCTAAGGCCTAATGTAATTTATTACATAGGTAGGCTAATGCATAAGGTAATTTATTACATAGGTAGGCTAAGGTATAAGGTAATTTATTACATAGGTAGGAAGGGACTTTTGTCTTCTCACTCTTCTCGGTGTGTTTTTTGTTGTGTCGTTTGTCTTGTTTTGCATCATACACTCTACAGGCATGCGGTGCGGCTAGGTATTGGTGAGATTGGTATAATATAAGTAGTTTTTTTACTTGATACTACACTTAATGTGATTAATTCATGTGGTTATAACTAATTTATTAATAAAGCAATGAAAAATTATTTTCAGAGCATGAATTACATTTACGGTCTGATGGCTTGGAGTAACATCGTCAGAAGATGTGCTCAAAGATTTTTTGAGCGCATTTTGTCAGTGATGCGTTGTCAAGATGATCGGCACAAAATTAAGATAAGTGTTCTT